GGACTCGGCCACCTTGGAGGAAATCCCCCTTACCCAGACCTCGGACTTCCCGCCCGCAGCCACACCGGCATCTGCCCAGACGGCTAAGCGTGAGATCTACCTGTGATCCCCCTCTGGCCAGCGGCTACCCCCTTCCCTGCAGCCAGCGGCCAGATCCCAGATGGGGCCATTCCAGGGCCTCCACTCCTGACCCCTCCAGTGTGGACTTCCCAGCCAGGGCCCCCAGTGTGGGGGGAGTGCTGGCCTCGTGACCCCACTGGCCCTCCCCCATGCAAGGTCCAGGTTCCCTTCCCCCCTTTCATCCCCCAGTCCTCCAGAGCCCCTTCCTGCCCTTGTTGGGCTTCCTCCAGCTGATGCCCAAGAGGGCTCCTCTACAAGGACTAGGCTCCCTTCTTTCCACTCCAGGGAGCACCCCCTCACTCTGGGCAGATGGGGGAGGCAAGGGTGGGCAACACACTTTTGACTCATTGTTTCCCGCAGGGGCCAGCCAGGGCATGTACAGGATGCCCCCATCCCAGCCCTGAAGCAGGGCTGAACTGGGGAGCCTCTTTCCCTGGGGACTCCCAGAGGAAACTCTTGTCCACTGGGGGCTCCCTGAAGGGCTTTTGTTACCAAAGGTGGGGTGTGGATGGGGTGGGAGTGGGGCGGAGGCCTTGTCTTCCCTTACTGCTCCTGGGCTGGCCCCCCTGCCTGCCACATGCCCATGCCTGGTCCCACCTGGGCGCCCCCCTTCCCTGCTGGTCACGCAGTGTCTGTATATAAGGACCTTGGAATGATGTTCCCATTTCTGCCTGATTTGCAACTTTTCTTGTTGATGTTGTGTTGTCTTGGGGGACCCTTCTGGCAGGGGGGACCTGCCCTGTGCTCCCTCCTCCCTGCCGCAGTGCGCCCCACCCGAGGCCTCTATTGTTCCATGTTGTAAATACCCCGGGGGCCATAGTGGGATGGGGGTGGAGGCCAGGGAAACAACGGTGGGTGGGGGTGGGGATGGGGTAACATTCGCCTATCAGCAGAGCTGGGCTTTTATTTAATTTTTTTTAAGAATACAAATCTCTATTTTTTTGGAACTGTTGCGCTGTGCCCCCAGGGTGGGGGGGAATCCCCTCTCAGGCTGGCACCCCCACATGCAGAGGAGCGTCACAGAGGGCCCCTGAGGCTGTGGGGGGCAGCTGGACAGGGGTGGGATGACTGTGCCTCTGGCCTGGCTGGGTGAGTTGGGAGCAGGAAGGTTTGCTCAGGGGGTGGCTGGTTGCTGCCCCCAATTTGGGGGACCTGCCCCCTGCCCCCTCCCTGCCCCCCACCCCCAGCCCCCGCCATGACTGACCCGTCAGCCTGTAAAACCACCATTGCCTTGATCTCAGGGGGTGGGAAGGGCTGCCTCAGGGTGCCCTGGGCTCTAGGCCCCCTTCTTCCAGTTGGGCTTCCCTTCGCCAGGGTCAGGGGTCCCATGGGGAGGGGGGAGGGAGCCTGGAGGGCAGAGAAGCCCAGTCAGCCATGTGAGGTGGGATTCCTTCCTTCACCTCAGGGGGCCAGGGTGTGCAGGCATCCTGCACCAGTGCCCCCATCTCCCACTGTGGCCACCTCAAAGCCTCAGTCCCTCTTCCTTCTGGAAACCCCCCCAGCCTCGGCCCATACCTCTCCAGCTCCCCGGGGACCCAGGCTGGGGGGCTGGAGACTCAGGGTATGGCCCTGGCTTGACTTAGTTTGAGATTGGGGGGCGGCCCAAGGATGGGAGGGGTGTGGGTACAGGCTGCTGGGTCGTCTGGTGCCTTTGGGAGCTGTGCTGCTGGGGTCTTATCTCCTGTGACCCCAGACACCCCACCTCCGCCCCGGAAAAACCAGGGGGCTGAAGAATCACCCTAGTCTCTGCTCCTTGCCCCTAACTTGGCTTGGGACAACAGTGCTGGCAAGAAGAGCATTGTTAGGCTGGTGGCCCCAGCGCACCCAGCCCTTCTATGGAGGGCAGAGGGTAGAGTGGGCTGGGGTTGCAGCTACCGTACCAGGTCTAGGGGTTGGCCAAAGGCTCCTTTCCCTGGGGGAGGCCCAGGAGGTGGGCTGGGGCTTGTTAAAGAGACAACCCCTTCCCCCTGCACAAATGGGGCAGGTGCAATAGTGGTGGAGTTGGTAACATGAGGTGCCCAGCTGGTGGGGCAGTGGCCTCGAGGGCTGTCCTGGTTCCTGGAGGTCAGGGTTCTGGCAAGAAGATTGTATGAGGCCCATTTCTTGGTGGAGAGGGTGGTCCAAACAAAAGGCATTCCTGGGGTCAGTAGACTGCCCCCGGAAGCCCCTGGTGGCCTGGGCACCATGCTTTGGTCGTGGGGACCCCCGAGCACTGAGTGGGTGGGCAGAGGAGCATTTTGCACATTGGAGAAGCCAGAAGGAAGGGGGTGGCCCAGATGGCTGGGAGGGCTGAGAAGCACAGAGGAGGAGCTCTTCCCGCAGGCAAAGGCAGAGCCCCTAGCCCCCTGGTTGGGGTTGGGGCTGAGGCTGTCATCACCTGGGCACTCAAGAGGTAAAACCAAAGGTGGGCAGGGGATGGTTGACAGTGCTGGGGACCACCCATTGGTCCTAGTCTGTGACGCCTTTTCCCAATGCCTTGTGTCGCGTACAGTTTTATGTACAAATAGGCGACATTTGGCCAGAGGAGAACCCCCCCTCAAACCCAGCCTGACCCAGTCAGTGTCTTCCTAGAGGGGTCCTAGTTGGTCCCCACCCCCCTACTTCAGAGCATGTCTCTTGGTAGGGAGAGGGTATGTGGGGACACATTTTTCTCTCCTAGGGTCCCTGAAGTGTGTCTCATACCCCTGAGGGAGGGTCTCTGGGGCATTCCCCACCTCTGGGGGCTCCCTAGGCCCTCTCTCTCCCTTTGGGAGCCTCTGGGGGAACATGTATTCCCTCTGGGGACCGTGGGAGCCTGTCTCCCCACTACCCAGGCTCTCCGGAGAGCCTGTTTTCCTCCCAGGGTTCCTGGGAGTACATAAGGCATGTCAGTCTCGGGCGTCTCTCTTCCCAGGGAAGGGGGCTATCGCTGAAGCATGTCTGGGAAGAGGTGCTTCTGGACCCTCCCGCACCTCTGGGGGTGTCTCTGACCTGCAGCACTTGGGGATGAGACTGGGCAGCTCTGAGCTGTCTTTTCTCCTAGGGGCTCTGGGATACCTCTTTTCTTCTGAGGGCCCGGCCTCCGGAGCCATTACTCCCCTGGTGGGGGCTGCCTCCTGGTGTTGGGAGGGCTTGCGTCGGCCATGAGAAAGTCTCTTTGGGGGCGTCTCCACGCGGGACTTCTCTGGGAGGGGGGACTGCGTCCCGCCCGTGGGGTTCCCCGGGGGCGGATGTGTCTGCCCGTGGGGCGGGGGAGACTGTGTCTCCTCGGGTTATCTGAGTGGGGAGGGGGCCGCGTCTCTCTCGTGTGTTGGGGGGGTGGGCGTCGGGGAGGGGGATTTTGGGCTCGTCGGGTGCCCACGCTGGGGTCGTGTTTCTCTCGGTTCGTGCCCCTTCCCACCGCCTCGCTCCTCCCGGGAAGGGCCCCCGCTCAGCCCTCACTCCACCCCCATCCCTGGCGCTGCGAGCACAATCCCGTTGATTTGTAATGATTTCTGTCTCTTTCTGTCTTTCTCTTTCTCAGACCACCCCCACCGCTCACCCACCCCGCGAGCATGCGCAGGCACCGCCCCTAGACCCACTCCGGTTCGGTTCGTTTCCGGTTTGTTTGCTGAGCTGTCAATGAAAGACCCGTGTAATTATTCCGAGCTTTACAATAAAAGTGTGAAAACCGGATCCCACCTTGCTTCTTCCGGGCCCTTGGCCTGCAACCCGGGAAGACAAGGGACTCAGTCTCGGCTAGAGGCGTTGGAGGGGCCAGCGCAAACGGTCGAGAGAAGAGGGACCGACACCCACAGTGGGTTTAACTGAGGCCTTGGGGAGATGGGGGCCAGAGGATGCAGGCTGAGGACAGACGTCTACACCGTCCACCTCAAAGCGCTCCCCCCAACAGATCTGCTGGGCCCGCCCCGCTCCGGGCAACCTCGTCCCCACCAGGAGCTGAGGTGCAGGCTAGGGGCTCGGCGCGGGTGCAGCGTAGGGGAGGGTGTGCTGCGGACTTCCCGGGGCGTGTAGCCATTCACGCTCCCCCTCATTTGGCAACGAGTATGAATTGCGGAACTGGATGGGAGAAGAGGCAGGAGACATCAGTCTGTCTGTCGATCCCTCCCACGCTCAGGAACGAGGATTGGAAGTCGATTTAGGGGACCCGAAAAGGTCTCAGCCCCTATCTCCGACAGCGCTGCCGGCTCCCCTGACCCCTCCTGCGCCCCGCCTCCCAACTGAACGGCCCAGGTCACCTCCATCCGCCTCTCGGGTAAACACCGGCTCCGCAGAGGATGAAGGGCAGAGACCGGATCAGCCGGTTTCCTGGCCCCGCCTCCTGGGGACTCCCTCCCCCCGCGTCAACTTCCTTTTGGCCCGGTTGCCCCCCAGGCCCGCTCGCGCGACGTGGGTTTGGCTGCCGGACTCCCGGGTAGGTTCAGCGTCTGGGATTAGCCCAGCGCTGGGACTAATCCTGGATGAGCCTCCGTGTAAACCCGGATCGACCGCGGGCACGGCGTGGGCTGCGGGTGTCCCTTCATCCATTCCCTTGCGCGGGGCTCTGCAGGGTCTGGCACCCACCCCAGGTCCCCTAGTACATTCGAAGGCCGTGCGTTTGGACCTGCTGTTACCGACAGGCTGGGAATGAAAGGGGATATAAAGAAACACCGCCAGGATGAGACCCTGAGCCTGGCATTGGAGTGGGTGGCGGGGAGCCAGAAAGGAAGGGCAAAGGCCTTTCTGGCAGCCTGTGAATCCACAAGGGGTCAGGTCAGTTCCTGGCTTAATGTGCAGCCCTGTGCCATCACCGGTTACAGAATCACAAAGCTTTCCTCTACCGGGGACCAGCCTGCTGGCCCCTAACCTGGACACCTCCCCTCCTGGTCCGCCCACTGAATCAGCAGGGGGTGCCCAGGTCATCCCCACTTGCCCTTGGGCAGATAGTGGGGGGTGAGGAGCTTTTAAGGCCAAGCCCTAGAAAAGACATCAGGGCTCAAGGGACTTGGCTACTTGAATCCTGCTCCCGGTTGGTTCAGTCATTCTACAGCTGTTTCCTGAGCCCCTCCGTTGTGCCAGCCCAGCACAGGGTACTTGGCCACCCCAGGAATGACACAGTCTCTGTAGGAGAAGCAGACAGGTAAACAGCGACCATTTCATGTGTTCAGCCCTGCCCTGAGCCATAAATCCCTGCTGGAGAGCCAGAAGAGGCGTCTCCTCCAGCCCAAGTCGGAAGACTTCCTAGAAGGGGTGGTGCCTGAACTGAGTTTCAAAGGCAAGTGGGAAGAGCCCCTGAGGAAGGGGTCAGCATGGCAGGTGAGAGAATAGTGTGTGCAAGGGCCTGGAGGTGGAGTAGGATAAGGTGAGGTAGTTCAGAGGGGCAGAAAATGCTGAGGAGGAAGGCAGGGGCCAGAGCCAGGTCATGCTGGTCAACCCAAGCAAGGAAAGAGGGAGCCATTGAGGGATGCTAAGCCTCTGAGAGACAAGGTCAGCTTTACATTCTTTACAGATCCTAACTGTCTTCCTCCCTTCTCAGCCCGGGTTTCTCTGGGGATGCCGGGGTTGGGAGTGGAGACACACACCCAGACAGACAGGAAGAGGAACTAGGTGCAGTGTACGTCAAGAAAGGAGGTCCCCACCTTCTTGCATCACACCTGGAGTCAGACCTAAGTTAGCAATCTGGCCGTACCCTTCCTAGTAGTATGACCTGGGGCAGGTGACTGACTGAGCCTTGGAGTCTTCGTCTGTAAATGGGAATAATAAGGTCCGCCATCACAGAGGATTGTTACGGGGCTTCAGCGAAATAATCTGTCCACTCTTGTAACATATTTAACAGCTACCCTGAGGCAGACCCTGTGCCAGGTGCTGGCATTAGAGCACTGAATTAGACAGGCATGGTCCCTACTGTCTCTTGGCACTTACAATCCAGTGGAGAAGACAGACAATAAACAAACAAACAAATGAGATAATTACAGATTGTGTAAAAGTGCTGTGAAGGAGACAAACAGTGGGACATGAAGGAGGATAACTGAAAGTGGGGAGAGGAAGGGGCTGCCTTACTCAGTGTGGCCTGGGCAGCTTCTCCGGGAGAACATGAAGATTTAGAGCTCAGAACAGAACATTCCAGGTCCAGGAAACTGCAACAGCCAAGATGCTGCCATGGGAGCCATGAGGAAGTTAGCCTGATTCCTCTAAGATGCCAAGCTTTCTGAGGACAGGACCTAGGTCTCTCACTTCTCGCAGCCTTCTGGAAAGATTTTACTGGGTAAAGTAAATAGCAATGTATTTGTGGCCAGTGGGGGTGGTTATTTTCCTGCTTGCTAGGCCAACTGCCCCACCCCCATCCCCTGGAGTGGTGTTTTGGTGGGGGGGTGTTGCTGGCCTCTTATCAGTTGGCCCATCTGCACAGCTTAATCTTCACTCCAGCTGTTCTGTCCAGGAAAGGCCTCTGCCCACTCCTGTACCTTTCCTAGGGTTCCCAGTCCTCTCCCTGGACAGGAGGGGCAGGTTGGGGCCCCTCCAGAATCTGCCAATCCAGAGCCTGACCTGCAGGACTGAGAGGGCAGAAGTGCCCCCATGAGAATGGCCAAGTGATTTAGGTCAGCGGGCCCTTTGGAGTGTCCGCCTTGGCCTGGGTCTCGCTTCCAGAAGACCTTGAGGAACGCTTCCTTGCACACGGATGCAGTTCACACACAGCCTTCGTGCTGCAGAGCTCACTCAGCTCCTCTCACGCACTCACCATCCAGCTGCACACTGCGTCTCCATGGCAACCAGTAGGCCTGGTCCGTGGATGTTAGAAATAAGTGCCGGAGGAAGAGGAGAGAGAAGGGGAGAGGCAGAGAGAGGAGAAACATCAGCAATAAAGAGACTGGCAAAGAGCCTCCTAAGGAGCCCCCATTCTTTCCTTGCGCCCCCTGCCAGGAAGACTTGAATGGACTCAGGGCCTAAGGATGGAGGGGCTCCAGGTAGGGCTGAGCAGTGGGCTGGGTGCTGTCTGGCCACAGGTAATGGGGGCACACCGGGCAATCAGGGAGGAGCAGGAGCAGGGGACCTGGCATGACAGTCCGGGGTCTTAGCTAAGAATCCCTGGTCCCGGTAAAACGCAGAGGACGGGATGGGCAGGGGTGGGAGACTTGGGGGAACTACTTTCCCTTCCTCCCGGCCTAATTGGCTGTTCAGGCTGAAACCGCCTCTTAGTCACTTAGTCTAATTAGAATTGTTCCGGAGAAGACCGTGGGGGAGGGGAAGGAGCAGGAGGGTGTGAAGGGGGAAAGGTGGGCGGAGACAGCTGGGTGGGGGTGGGGAGTGGGAGTTGCTTCTATCACCTTCCATCCATTCCCTCACCGTCCAGGGGATGGCCTGGGCTGCGACTGTCCAGGCCGTGGGTGCCTCTGAACAACCCATTCGGCTGTCACCAGCACCCCTCACATCCACCAGCACCCCTCACATCCACCTGCCTTCCGCTCTGCCCTGGGGGCTCCCCCTCTTCACCGCCCTGTGCCCCCCTTCCTCAGGGTTTCCCAGTCTCTGGCCAACACTGCCTGTGTAATAAACAGGTGAGGCCTTTAGGAGTTTGGGCTGTGGCCATCCACCTTGGAAGGAGGATGAGCAGGGGAAGGGGATTGTGTTGAGAGCAGCCTCATCTTTGGGAGTAGGACGGAATGGGGCACATACTGCCTGGGCCTGATTCCCCTGTCGCGCGCGCGCGCACACACACACACACACACATCCTCTTCCCACCCCTATTAAGCCTTTTCACCTGTCTGAAGTATGTGGGGCTTGGCCTCTGGAGCTGGACTGTCTGGATTGCCGTGGACAAGCTACTTAACCTCTCCGAGCATCAGTTTCTCTGGCTATGAAATGGGGATAATAAATTCTAAATCTACAGTGTGGATTTGAGCGGATAATTCATGCGAACTACTTAGCATGATAAATTTTAAGTGCTCAATGAACGCAGCCTTTATCACTCCCGGATGCCTTTCCTTGCCCTGGGGACCTTCAGGAGCCAAGACATCTGCACCCCCTCCTCATCCTGCTTCCCCATCCTTTCAGGCCGAAAAGTGCCTCTCCATTGCTACACGCCCCCCCTGCCTGACCCCTCCTTGCCTCTCCCAAGGCTGCGCAGCATGACGGGCACCGTGAGGGGTTAGGCTTGAGCCCTGCTCCTGCCCCAGGATCCAGACAGACCCCACTCCAGTCCAGGGTCTGATTTTGCCTTCTCTGCAGTCCTCAGAGGAGGGGAGGGGACAGCCGTAAATGATGTAGGGCAAGTGTATTTGCTGAGGGGGACAATAGGGAGGCACAAAGGCCAGAAGCCTAAGTATTTCATGGGGCTGCAGCACTGGGAAGGGCCAAGTCCCCGAGCTGGGTTTGTGAATGAGCTTGCGGCTCCACGCGGCTTGGAGCTGCTCCCTAGGCCCAGTGTCCCCTGCACATGCCCCACCTTCAGAGCAGGGCAGCCACAGACAACGGCCCTGCTGAACGCTCTCCTGGCCGGGATCCCCCCAAGACCCTCTCCGCACACAAACATTTTCCTTGTTACAGTGCCAGGATTTCATGCAGGTGTGAGGCCGTATGTTGACAGCACCTTTTTCTTGCCCATGTATTCAGTTTCCCCCTTCTGGTCCCCCAAAGACTGGTGACCTTGCCCTTCATCTCCTTGGCATTATCAGGAGAGTCAAGCTGGTAGGTTGGGAGCAGGGCAGGGGGGTGAGGGTGGCAGGGAGGAGGTCTCCCTGGTGTTATGTCTCTGTCTCACGTGGCTGGCAGAGGAGGAAGGCACTGGTCAGAGCAGGTGGGGACCAGGTAGGTAGCAGCCTGGGCTGGCTGTTTCTGTGCCCACTGCTTACAGATGAGTGGGGGCACTGCCGCTGCCAAATCTCTGCCTCCAGGTGGCCCTTGCTGGCTGTTCCCCAGGACCCTTTCCTGACTCCATATCTAAGTAGGGGATTAGAAGGTGCCCTTGTCATCTCTGTCTGGCTCCCCCTTTGTCCTTTTCCCTGACCTCATCCCAATCTATCTTTATTTCATTTATTTGTTTACTTGTTCAATTTCTGTCTCTTCCCACTAGAATAAAAGCTTTCAGGAGGCAAGAATCTTGTGTAACTTATTTACCACCCCTCACAATGTTTGCTGAATGGATGAATGACTGGAAACTGCTTGGGGATTCTTCAGTCAGAGCAAGAAAAGAGAGACAGAGCGAGGTGGGCCACAGGTGAGGAGGGGTGTAAGTGAAAGGGACTCGTGGAAGGAGGGAGGGGTGTGGGAGGTTGGGGAACAGGAGGGATGGAGATGAGATGAGACTGGGAAAGAGGTGGGTGTGAGGAGGCAGGTGGGATGGAGGGTGCTGGAGCTAGAGCCAGGAGCCATTGGCTCTGGGGGAGGCACCCAGGCCCGCAGAGGGGCTGGGGCACAGGCTTTGGGTGAAGTCAAGGTAAGGACTGCCCTCAACAAGGCTGCGCTTGGAATCTGGGTGCCAGAGTACAGAAACCCACCAGGAACAGCTGAGCTCGGGGGCTTCCCAGGGCCTGCTGGTGCCGTCAGTGTCCTTCTGACCCACTCTCACCCCCACCCCCAAGTCTGGGCAGGATGCCCAGCCTCAGGTCCCCTCCCCTTGCCCATCGAAGCCCATAAACAGGAAATGCTGCAGGCTGGGCCAGCCTGTGCTGTCCTCAGAGAAAGAGCCAGGGATCCTTGCAGGGTAGGGGAGGTGCACAAAGCCAGTGCAGAGTCCGGATCCTTTGATTGCCCCTGCTATACCCAGGGAGGCCCCTTCAGAAGCTTCTGTCCTCCCAAACCAAAGGTGACAGCAATACTCATTCATTCGCACTAAGCCTCCAGGGGAAGCTGAGGTGAAGAAGAAATCCTTCCGCAGGGCTCTGGCCCCTTGGCCTTCTCCCTGATCCGGGGCTCCCTGAGAAGGCAGACAAGGGACAGGGGAGGTGGCCCCGAGGTGAGGACAGAGAGACTGCCACCAGAGAAATGGTGTGTGCCCCAAATTGGCCAGAGTGGTTGTGTGTGTGTGTGTGTGTGTTGGGGGGAGTGGAGGAAATAGGAGGTGTGCACCTGCAGTGGTTGCCATGGCAACCTCACTAGGATCCCAGGAGGGTGGCCTCTCCCCCAAAGCCCTGTGAAACCTGGAACACAAGAGACAAACACACACACGTGCCCTCACGTGCTTGCACACGCACACACACCCCTACACACACACACACACACACACACACACACACACTGGGCTTTGCAGAACTCTGCTCCTGGGAGAGCCCTACCAGCTTCCTCTCTTTTCTGTCTATCTCCCTGGGAGAGGCTGAAACCAGAAATGGGGCCACAAGCAGAGGATGTATCAGGAGGTAGGGATGGGGAGGCCCTCCACAAGGCAGGGGGGTGGGGGTGGGCTTCCCACATGTGTTGGTACAGGATTAATGTGTGCATAGAGCTGCGGTGGTGTCCAAGTAGGTGTACAGTCACGGGTATACTAGGCTGACCCACCCCAGGTCCTACAGCCAGACCACACAGGAAAGGGAGTTGGGAAGGAGATGATTGTTAACAAAGACAAGGGTAATCACAGTTAACCTTAATTGAGAGCTTATTAAATGCCAACTATGTGATTGTGGTGAGCATTTACAGGCAGCATCTCATTTGATCCTACAACAACTGTACAAGGTAGAAATTATTAGCCCCATTTACAGATAAGAAAACTGAGATTCTAAAAGGTTAAGTACCTTGCCCCAGGTCCAGGAGCTGGAGAGAGGGAGAGCCTCTGCAACAGGGGAGGGGGCAGAAGACAGTGCTTCCAGCCCCAAGGAAACTGGTCCTGGCCCCAGGCCCCATGTGCCCCGATGCTCCCCATGTGGCTGGTCTGCTGCCATGCCAAGAGGCAGGGCCTGGGAACCTCTGCTCTTGGTGCCTGCCTGGGCTGGGGCAGCTGAGGGCACCTGTGAGGGTGTGGGGACGGAGAGCAGCGGGCATCGTGATTGGCACAAGCCAGGGAGCGGCTGGCAGCCTTGCTCCTGGTAAACATGAGGAGAGGTTACTTCACAAGGAAACAGTAATTAACTTTAATTAGCACCTTGCATCTCAGAATATTATTAACATCTCAATTTCTCTAATCAAGGCAGCAGGAGAGGGGCGGCATCTGCCTTGCTGACTCCTTCCTGGCCGTGCTGCCTGGCTCCGTGTGGTTCCTGCCCAGCCCCCACCCATTGGGTGGCACCCAGGAGCACCTCCGCAGAGAAGGGTTGCTAAGGGAGCCAGGGAGTGCAGGGAGTGAGGGAAGCCTGGACTGCCAGGGATAGGAGAGCAGGTGACAGGGCAGAAGGCCAGGGGGCAGGGCCCTTTGTGTGGCCACGTCGTCCTTACAAGTAGACCATAAGCACCAATGGCAGTTCTAGGCTTGTGCCCTGATCCAGAGGACAGACATGGCTGCCTGTGCATCCCCCTCTTCCCCCTGTCCCCTCTCTCTCATTCCTTTGAGCTAGACCTCCCCTCCTCTCTCAAATCTTTCTCTCCCTTCTCACTCCCCTTCTCCTCACCCTAACTTTCCACTGCCATGCTCAGTGAATAAGCATCTCACAGGCCTAGGGGCCTGGCTTCCACTACCAGGGACACGGCCATGGGTTCAGGACAAATCCTGCCCGTGGGCTGTGTAGGACCCACAGAAGAGGTAAAGCCGTGCATTCTAGCAGGGAGGCAGGAATGGGAGAGGCCAGGGCCCTAACTGAGGGCAGCAAGACAGCGACCATCTCAGGCACCACGAGGGTACTTAATGCCTTTCAGCAATCTTCAGAAGCCATCATGGAGGGATGGAAGGCCCTGAGGGTGCAGGAAGTGGCTCTCTCTTCATTATAGCCACCCTCAGTGGCTGTTAACCCTGCTGCGTGTCTGATATTAATAACTGACTATCCCCCTTGGTCTAATTACAGCGGCCTGCTGCTGCCACAATTTGCTATTTATTTGGCAGTGTCCTCGTGGCTGTCTCCCCAGTCCAGCCAATTTGTATTTATTGAGCACCTATTATGTCTCAAGGATTGGGTCTGCCCTGGAGGAGGGAAGGACTGGTGCTCCTCTTTACAGGGACTGGAAGGATCGTGGTAGAGCTACGTGGTAGCGCCTACAGGCCTGGACATCTCAGCCAAACATCAGTGTTCTTGGCAGGGGGGATCCCCATAAGGAAGAGGCTGGTTCTAGACTGGCCTCATCAGCACCAGCACCCCTGGCCCCCTGCTGCTGCACTTGAGCCTGTGGCTTTGGCTTGGCACATCCCCTCCCGTCTCTATTTTTATACCCTCCAGAGGCCAGCGTCAGAAGACTAAGGTTCAACTGTAAATCTTATCCAGCAGGAACTCAAGGGGTGGGTTAAATGTGTTATATGTTCGGTAGGCGCCAGTCTCAAACCCACCTAATTTGGAGGGCCCCCTGCCGCTTGGTCTGATTAGTTACCCTGGTCTAGAACACTGATCACACATCACGTTGCCAGGTGCAAAGTGGGACCAGTTTTGTCTGACCACTAATGAGGGCCACGGAGCAGGGATGGGCCCCGCCTTTCCGTCACTCGCATTCTGTTTGCCGGGTACGATCATTTTTCATTGAGGATCTCATCGAATTCTCACAGAACCTGGAGAAGCAGGAATTACGCCCATTTTATAGTCGAGGCAACAAGACAAAGAGGGGAAGCCACACAGTTCGTAAGAAAGGCGAAAGGCGAGCAGGACAGGAACCACCGGGGCAGACTCAGGGGCGCCCCCTCGCTCAGGGTTTGACCGCTTTACAGTCAAGCCACCCTCTGCCAGGAGCTGGGGCCCTGCGGGAGGCCCCCACCCTCAAGGACAATAAGAAAACAGCCACTGTCTTTTAGCAAACGCTGCCTCCCCGTCTCTCCCTCCTCCACCCCGCCCTCCCCGCGCCCCAGCTCCCCCGGCCCGGGGCTGGGCCTCTATAATTGTAGAGTAGCCCGCGCTGGGCGGGGGAGAATCTGACGTTTCCAAAGGCTTTTGTGATGTTGATGATTATGGCGATGAGGAGGCTGTCCGTCTCCTACCAAGACTGGGGCCTCTCTTTGTTCCTCTCAATCGGGGTCTCTCTCTCCCTCTGCCCCGAGGACTGGAGTTGTCAGAGGACAAGCATCTGCTCCTCTTTGTGGGAGGAAGGAGATGGACTGGGTAAAGTGAACCCTGCGGATGGGCCAGCTCTCCACCTTCTCCGCCCGGCACAGGGGTGTGGGGACGTGATCATTAGCATGATATTTGCATAAGGAACAATCGGGGAGATTGGAGTCGCCCTCAGAGGAAACACCTGCAAGGAACTGTGAATGAGAGCCTCTCCCTCCCCGCGCCCCGACCCCAGGAAGGGGATGGTGGCCGGAACCCGATGCGCCTGACGCTGATGACAACGGCAATCACAGTCACTCACAGAGTGCCTACTAAGTGCCAGACCCTAAAGTGGATGTTCCATTTTTCTTAATCTTCACAGCCCCCCTAGGTGGTACATTCTATTACTTTATGGTACAATCTATAGAGGAGGAGGCTGCGGCTCAGCACCCCCAGAAGTGATAAAGATCGTGTTAGCAGCAGAGCTGAGCTTTGGAACAGGATGTTGACCTGGTGCCATTCACAGAGGATTGGGGTGATCTGGGCTCACCTCAGGTGCCGAGATCCTATCTCCATGGGCCCAGGGGATCTTGGGGGTCTTGGGACAAGCGGCTTAAGGACAGGCTCCCACCCAAGGACACTCACGCTCATGAGCACACATGCTCAGCCACTCTGCCCTGCCCCCACCTGCAGTGTGCAGGCAGAGAAGCTTGGCCTATAACCAGGTTAGCCAAGATCCAATTAACTAGTTAGCGCTGGCAGAGCTGGGGGCAGGCAGTGCGCGCAGGAGAGCAGGACAGATGGGTTGGGTAATGCGCAGAGACAGCCCGAGACAGCGGCTCCGCTCTAACCTGATACGCAACTCCTAACATCACTGCCGCCGGCCTGGCAGGCGGAGGGGCCTCAACCCTGGGTAGCTGGTGGGGTTCAGGGACAGCTATGACCCCCATTTCCACACACACACACAATGCCCTGTCCTCTGGCCTTCGCTCCGCAATGCCATCCTGCTCTGCCTCCTGTAAGGGCCGCGAGGAAGGCGGCTTCTGCAAGATACGTTTTCGTACAGTATCTGTAGTCATGTGAGACAACCACCTCCTCTAGGTGGGAAGCTGAGGATGTAGAGATAGAAGAGTTGATCGGGGGAGGTTAACATAGCAGTGGTTACTGTTTGTGAAGTTTGCCTTGCGCTGGGGACTCTGAAAAAACCACTTGTGTGTACTCTCTTGTTTACACTCACACCAATTCTTTGCTGTAAGTAATATTATAATCCCCATTTTGCAGATGAGAAAATTGAGGCTTACAAAGGTTAAGAAACTTGCCCAACTATCAAGACACCTCAGGCTCAAAACCACACTTTATCCTACCCCCGAACTAGGTCTGGGATTAGCAGTAATATTACTGATCACAATAGATCTTGCTTGCAAATATCACCTTAGAGTTTGCAAAAGCTATTTGGATTTATCCTGACAAGTCCATTCGGTAAATGGTTTATTTCTAACCCCTCCTTTACAGATAAATGAAATCGAGGCTTGACAGGGCTCGCCCCAAGGCTCACAGCTGATGAGTAACAAGCCAGAACTTCACCCCAGGCCAGGCCTTTCTGACAACCTGTCCAATGCTGTTGAGGAGAAAAGGGAAGAAGCCGGTGAGTCCAGGGCGGGTGGTTCATCTGTTTGCTTGTTTGTCACTGCTCCTTGGAAGAGTGGGTGAGGCCACACTCCTTCGGGGATGGAGAAAGCAGACAGCTTCCTGCCTTCACGGAGAGTGGGAAGAGGGGAGGCTCAGAGCCTGCGGGGTGCTGCCTTCGGGGTGCTGCCTCCGGCTCCAGGGCAGGAAGGGCCAAGAGGGGAGTCTGCCTCTCCCAGCATCTCATTTCCTCGTGTCTTTCAGAGGCTGTATCTGAGGCCCGGAAAGTTAAGGAACTCCCTGAGGTCGCCCAGAGACAGGTGTACAGACCAGGTCCCCTGACTTTAAGGCAAGTTCCCCCTGGCCAGAGGCCTTCCACGCACGGCAGGGTGGGGGACTTCCTAACCCCGCAAGCCTTGATTCTGTCTGACATCTCAGCACCCACTGTGAAGGGACAGATGCTGTGCTGCCCGCCCCTAGGGGGGGTGCCACCATTTCTCTCTCGGTGATCTGGGGGAAGAGAAACCAGTTGAATTCTCACCACTTCAGGCAATCTGGGGCTGTAGAGTCTAGACTCGGGGATGAGTGTGTTGAACACAACAGCGAGAGGAAGGTGGCACGTGAGTGGGACACGGCCCTCGGGCCACACCTGGGAGAACACGGGTGCACAGCCCCGCTGCCCTCTGCTTTCCCTGATGCCAGCACCAGAAGGGTTAAGACGGCCCCAGCCTGGGGGACTGAGGAGCTGTCTGTGCAGGAAGCTGCTCTCCCAGTCCCGAAGGCCCCTGGGGACGGGGGAGGGGAGCAGCTTTCTTAGTCTCTTTCCCAGGCTCCTCGGCCTCCCCGGGGATCCAACTACATGCCAGAGAGGTGACCCTTGACCCATCCCCCTCCGAGCCCCGCCCTCTCCAGCCTAGCCTGTAAAGACTCTGATCTTGCTCAGAGTGCTGAGAGAGTGGGGTCCCCTTACCTTCTCACCTGTCCCCCCACCATTTCACCTATTCCCCTCAGGGCCCCACTCCACTCGTGTCCCACAGCCACCGTATCCAGACTCCTGGGTCTCTTCCCACCCAGCTCTGCGCCCTCAGGCCTCTCCCCAGCCCCCACGTTTGTAATCTTCTAAAAATAAAGGCCTGTGATTCAAGTAGGCAACTCCGGAAATATACAGTCCAGCCCAGGCATCCGCCGGGTGGGGGACACGGAAGGACCCGGGCACACAGAAATACGCAGACAGCTGCCCCCACTCTCCCAGGTAAACACCAGAAGGCAGAGCCTGTGTCTGATGAGGAAGAAGCCAAGGGACAGAGGAAGGGCACAGAGGGGACCACTGTGCCAGGTGGGCCCTAACAAAGGGGGGCTCCCCCTGGCCTCCCCAGTGGTGGGCTGTCTCCCGCCATGGCCAGCTCTGACATCCAGGCAAATTCCACCGTGTTTGGGTCCTACCCCTGAACTGTTTCTGAGGAGAAGGCAGACAGCCACTTTGGGCAACCCTGTTCAGAGACATCTGTTCCTCATCCCTCTGCATCTTCCTGGACGCCGGCCAGGATAGCGGTCAAGGGGGTCCAGGAGTGGCATCAGCTGAGATCCCCTTGTCTGTTCCAGCTGTGCGATCAGGGTGCCATGGGATAGGGGCCCTCTGCAGTGGCATGAAGGGATGCTGCAGCCTCTGGGGCTGGCCTGGGGTACTTCCTCAGTGTGGCAGAAGGACCATGTCCACATCACACTGGGCTTTGGTAAGGTTCACTCCCACGCTGGGCCTTACGAACTTCCTGGCTGGTATTTGTGTAACTCCTCAACCACAGTACATTTTGGGACCTCAGGAACAATAGTAATAATTAGAAGAATAATAGCTAACATTTTTCAAGCACTGACTGTGTGCCAGACCTGAGCTAAATAAATACTCACGTAATCCTGACAGGAGCCCTTTTTATCATCCTTAACTTGTAGGTAAGGAAACTGAGGCACAGATTGCCCACAGCGCTGGCTCTTCCCTAGGTCACACTAGTAAATGGCAAATCTGGGACTTGAACTCATGGCCGTGTGACAGCACAGCTTTTTCCTCGTGATCTCTGTGTGGTGGCCTGAGGGTATGGAGCCCTGTGAAGGGACATCTTGAAAGTGACTGTGGTGGACACCCGCCACATTACAGGGGTAGAAGCCCGCTGGGACGCTGGGCTTTCTTGCCATACTGGCCTGGCTTCCTCTCTGCATGGCATGGCAGAGGCATGGCACAACACGTAGGTCAGGTGATCCCAGGCCCTGAACCGCTGCCACCTTCCGTTCAAGCCACAGGAAAGCAACAGAGAGGCTGGCTTTTGGGATCTGGGAAGCCGCCCGTCAGCCTCATACCAGGACCTCAGCTGACTGGCATCCTGACAGCTGAGCCATAGCCTGGCCGGCCCTTGCTGACCCCAGCCAAGTGATCCGCCGGGGGCTAGGTGAGGCCGGCAGCCTGGACAGGGCTGTCCATAGCACAGCTGGGAAGGAGACAAAGACTGATTGAGAAGCTGCCCCTCTCTTTTGTCAGCATCTTGGGGCCCTTTCCCAGCCTGTCACCAGTCCTAGTACTATTCCCCATACCTGGCTTTTACATCCTAGGGAAGAATGAGGCCTGAGGGGAGCTGTCAGGCTCTTTCTGTACCACATAGAGTCGCCATGCAAAAGTTGGCCTTTTGAATTGCTGCCTTTTTGGTTTAGGCAAGATTTACCTGTCACATGGCAATTTGATGGTGTATCTGGGACAATCCCACCATTAAAGTTAGTAACACAGGTAAACACTTAGGTCAGCCCCCAGCCTACATATAGTGAGTGAATTAGGGGGTCCCTCATGGGACCCCTTAGATATGTTACCCATGATAAGAATAATGCTGGCATAACCAGGTTACCAGCTACCGTTTGTTATCAAGCAATTCTGATGACAGTGCTGAGCCCTATACACACATTCTTATTTAATGTTTGCAGTGACCCTATGAGTTAGATGTCACTCATTTTACAGATGAGAAAACCGAGGCCAAAGTCTCACAATTAGTAAGTGGATGAGCTGGGATTTGAATCCAGGCCAACAGACATGTGGTTTTCTTGTGGTCATTCTGCTCCGGGCTGATTGGCCCCTGTGCATATTCCACAAGGGCACGTGCCCCTCAGATAAAGTTGGCAGCGTTTCCTGAAATTTTAAAACTGCTGCAAGCAGTTCTGACAGGACAGACATGTCCTGCAACTTCGGCGATGCTTTGCTTTAACCCTCTAACATCACTGCTGGCCAGCGCTCATGTTCCCGTGCCAGACTCTTCTGATCAATAGCTAGTGCATGCTTTTCTGCTCACGAAGCACCCACCATCAGTCCATCCCGTTATCCCAATTCTTGATAGCTCCCCACCACCACCAAAGAAGCCCTTTGCCCCTTTCGTGTTGGTCAACTGAGCTACACATTCATATGCTCCCTCCGTCCTTTGCCTCTAGGTCCTGAGCCTGATCCTTCAACCCACTGTGACCTTGGGGGTCCAGGATGAATTCCATTCAAACTCCCCCTCCCCATTCCAATCACTATGGCCTAGATACATAAATTTAAATCTAGCTCCTCTGTCTGCCCACCCTGTTATCTCTTAATATTTCTCTGGTCACATCACTCCTGCCCTCCTCTAACTGCCCCCGTCCCCCAAGCCAGTGCCACGGAACCACACAACACGTGTAAGTGTGACTGCCTGGAAAATGTAACTTTCAAGGAGCTGAAGCAGAGTGACAGTAAACAGAACATGGGAGACCCAGACGCTATCTAGGGTTTACATGGTCAGCAGCAGGAGCTTAGAAATAAGCAGATGGGAGAGAGAGACGGATGGGGATGATCAAAAGAATGAGCTGGAGGGAGAAATGGGAGATGGGGGGAGTGATACTGATTCAACCAGGTCAAAAGAATCCTTGACTGTCAGTGTTGGAAGGACCCTCAGAGGTCAGCCAGTCCAGGAGTGGCAGAGAAATTTCAGGTCACAAGCTAATGCTGAATGAGGAGCAGCAGCTGCCTGTGAGTGTCCTGAGAAGAGCGTGCCAGGATTGATTAGCAATGTCTGCCGTGGGTTCGGGATTAGAAATGGTGGCATGTGTGCCAGAGTTTACTTTCCTGATCTGTTTTCAACCTCTTCATTGTGGAGCAGCTGAGGAGCCCAGAGGGAAAGAGAATTGTGCCTAGAACGCTGCTTGTGCCTTCTCTGACCTTTGGCTTCTTCTGGACAAGGAGACTCCCTGGGGCAGAGGTGTTGGCTCTCTCTAGACAAAGAGAGAATCCAGTCAGAGGACAACAAGCGGAGGGGGGATGGGCTTGCAGCAGGGATGACACCCACAGGGGCAAACTTACTGGCTCTGCAGCAGCAAAGGCCCCCAGAGGGGGCAATTAGAGGAGCCAAGAGCCAGGCAGGAGGTGAGCACAGGGGCATCTGTGTGCAGGTCTGCTGTGTGGGCCAGAGGAGGAGAAAGAACCTCCAGGTGACAGGGGCTGCCGAATGGGGATAATGACACCCTGACAAAGCAGTGGGGGCTTGGCGCCCAGCCCAGCCAGGGTGCTAGCACAGCGAAGCCGTGATGCACCACTCGCAGGCTGGGCAGCAAGTGGGAGGTGGGCTGAGGGGCCTGGCAGCAGCACAGCCTTGGGAGTTTGCTCTTGAGCTTCTGCCTGCCTCCCTTGGTTTTCCAAGGATGTTGGTCTGGGTGTTGGTCTTCCCTTCTCTTCACTTCCGCCCCACCTCTCCCTCTCTCTCCTCCCCCTCCCTGCCCCCTCCCTGTATCACAGAAGCTCCACTAGGAGCAGAAATGGAGAAGGGAGCCGTGAGAATGGTGGTGGCATAGAAAGACGTGGCAGCTGCTTTAATCCAGCTGCCCAAGGCCATGGAAAGAAACCGGGCTCCGAGCGTGTCTGGGGGAGAGAATCAGATTCAGACGCCGCACCCAGGTTTTCACCGAGAGAGGCGATGACGTCCCCCAAGTCAGTGTCCCGTTGATTTGCCATGCCCCTCTCCCACCTTCCTTCTGCTGCTAGACATGCCCAGATTCTCCTTAGAGAACCACCCTGCCCTCTCTCTGCCGGTGTGGTTTAGGTTGACTTTACCCGGCCTTACCCAGGATCTCAGGGTGGGCACATGACTGGAGCTGGCCCTTCTGTGCCATCCATCTTGGGCCACATGATTCAACAAAAGTTGATCTAGTAAGATGAGCACTGAATCTTCTGTCAAACTGTTAGAAGGGGAGTTCTTCCTCTGTTAGGTTTGCCACGTGGGTAGGTCTAAGTCTGGAGCTACTTAAAACCCTCAGGGAGTGGGTAACAGAGAGTAAAGCTAACATGAAGCAGAGCAGAGCTGAGAGTTGGAGAGAGACTGATGCCAGATGACATTGTCTGAGTGCCTGGATCCAGCTA